CTTTTGTTTTAGGATGAAATGTTCTATAGATGTCTGTTAAGTCCATTTGGTTCATAACTTCTGTTAATTTCAAAGTGTCTCTGTTTAGTTTCTGTTTCCATGATCTGTCCATTGCTGACAATGGGGTGTTGAAATCCCCCACTATTATTGTGTGAGGTGTAATGTGTGTTTTGAGCTTTAGTAAAGTTTCTTTTATGTATGTAGGTGCCCTTGCATTTGGGGCATAGATGTTCAGAATTGAGAGTTCACCTTGGTAGCTTTTTCCTTTGATGAGTATGAAGTGTCCTTCCTTATCTTTTTTGATTAATTTTGGATGGAAGTCGATTTTATTTGATATTAGAATGGCTACTCCAGCTTGTTTCTTGGGACCATTGGCTTGGAAAATTGTTTTCCACCCTTTTATTCTGAGGTAGTGTCTGTCTTTGTCACTGAGGTGTGTTTCTTGTATGCAGCAAAATTCTGGGTCTTGTTTGTGTATCCAGTCTGCTAGTCTGCGTCTTTTTATTGGGGAATTGAGACCATTGATGTTAAGAGATATTAAGGAAAAATGATTGTGGCTTCCTGTTATTTTTGTTATTAGAGGTAAAGTTATGTTTGTATAGTTATCTTCTTTTGGGGTTGTTGGAAGATTACTTCCTTGCTTTTTCTAGGTTGTAGTTTCCCTCCTTGTGTTGGCGTTTTCCATCCATTATCCTTTGAAGTGCTGGGTTTGTGGGAAGATATTGTGCAAATTTGGTTTTGTCATGGAATATCTTGGTTTCACCATCTATATTGATTGAGAGTTTTGCTGGGTATAGTAATCTGGGCTGGCAATTGTGTTCTCTTAGTGTCTGTATGATGTCCGTCCAGGCTCTTCTGGCTTTTATAGTCTCTGGTGAGAAGTCTGGTGTAATTCTTATAGGTCTGCCTTTATATGTTACTTGACCTTTTTCCCTTACTGCTTTTAGTATTTTTTCTTTGTTTTGTGCATCTGATGTTTTGATTATTATGTGACGGGAGGTATTTCTTTTCTGGTCTAGTCTATTTGGTGTTCTGTAGGCTTCTTGTATGTTTATGGGCATCTTGTTCTTTAGGTTAGGGAAATTTTCCTCAATGATTTTGTTGAAGATATTTACTGGCCCTTTAAGTTGGGAATCTTCATTCTCATCTATACCTATTATCCTTAGGTTTGGTCTTCTCATTGTGTCCTGAATTTCCTGGATGTTTTGAGTTAGGAGTTTTTTGCTTTTTTCATTTTCTTTGACAACTGTGTCAATATTTTCCACCGTATCTTCTGCATTTGAGATTCTCTCTTCTATCTCTTGTATTCGGTTGGTGATGCTTGCGTCTGTGACTCCTGATCTCTTTCTTAGGTTTTCTATCTCCATGGTTGTCTCCCTTTGAACTTTCTTTATTGTTTCTATTTCCAGTTTCAGATCCTGAATGTTTTTGTTTAATTCCTTCTTTGTGTTTTCTTGCATTTCTTTAAGGGATTTCTGTGATTCCTCTTTAAGGGCTTCTATCTGTTTACTTGTACTCTCCTGTATTTCTTTAAGGGAGTTACTTAATTCCTTCTTATAATCCTCTATCATCATCATGAGAAGTGATTTTAATTCTGAATCCTGCTTTTCAGGTGTGATGGGGTGTTCAGGGCTTGCTATATTGGGAGAATTGGGCACTGATGATGCCAAGAAACTTTGGTTTCTGTTGCTTATGTTCTTGCGCTTGCCTTTCGCCATCTGGGTAACTCTAGTGGTACCTGCCCTCTCTGTGTAAGATTGGAATCTGTATTTCCAGTTATCTTGCTTATTGCAGAGCTCCTCGGAGTCCAGAGGTCTCTGTGGTCTTATGCCCCTAATCTCCCGGGTGGAAGAACTCCTGGGACTCAGGCCACCTCTTGGATCTGGTAATCCTTCTGTTCTGAGTGCAGTGGCTCCTCGGCTGCTCTGAGTGCAGTGGGTTCTCGATGACTCAGGATTCAGTTTCAGCTGCTCTGAGTGCAGTGGCTCCTAGATGACTCAGGATTCAGTTTCTCCACAGGACAGGAGCAGACCAACTCTGTGTCAGCTGCTCTGAGTGCAGTGGCTCCAGCTGCTCTGAGTGCAGTGGGTCCCTGATGACTCAGAATTCAGTTTCAGCTGCTCTGAGTGTAGTGACTTCTCGATGACTCAGGATTCAGTTTCTCCACAGGACAGGAGCAGACCTACTCTGTGTCTGCTCCAGTCCCAGGGACCAGGCAGGGGCCGAAGGGAAGTGGAATTCCGGAGGGGCAGGGTTTGGGTAGCTGCTGTGCCCTAGATGTCCCTGGCTCCCAGATGTATTTCTGGGGCCTAGGGAGTGAGATGGAGTTCTTACCAGCTGCTCTGAGTGCAGTGGCTCCTGGATGACTCAGGATTCAGTTTCTCCACAGGACAGGAGCAGACCGACTCTGTGTCTGCTCCAGTCCAAGGGACCAGGCAGGGGCCGAAGGGAAGTGGAATTCCGGAGGGGCGGGGTTTGGGTAGCTGCTGTGCCCTGGATGTCCCTGGCTCCCAGATGTATCTCTGGGGCTTAGGGAGTGAGATGGAGTTCTTACCAGCTGCTCTGAGTGCAGTGGCTCCTGGATGACTCAGGATTCAGTTTCTCCACAGGACAGGAGCAGACCGACTCTGTGTCTGCTCCAGTCCAAGGGACCAGGCAGGGGCCGAAGGCGTTTTTTTTTTTTTAATATCTTTTCAGGACGGTTATTATTTTTCACGGGTTTTTTATTTTTATCTTTATTTTTTGCAATTCAAGGATGTTTCTCAAATATTGGCACATTTCTCTGTCCCCCGTGATTTAACAATAAGGAAACAGAGAAAATATGACTTTATAATGGAGAAATATGTCTAATTGGTATAGAAAGAGCTTTGGAGCCTATTCAAATGGCATACTAACCAATCACGCCAAAGCTCAGACAAACTATACTTACCTTCCACGCATCGACATCCCTCTTGTAGCACCCGTGCATACATATCCACTTTGGATTGAGAAAGGAGCTGGTCCCCAGTCAGGTATGTATTGTGAGATGAGGCAATGTAGTAGTTGCAGAGGGGCTGATCCATGTCTTGGTATACTTCATGGTGCAAAGGGTTAAATACATCACAAGCAGGGCTACGCATGAAGTTCGTGAAGCCTTCAAAGAAGAGAGTGAGATGCTACAGCTTTCACAGAGGATCTACGTAACTGATGCCAACAGAGACAAAATGGTCAAAGAACATTCATAAGCAAATATCAGGATAATGCTTGTGGTGACACTTGGAGCAGTGAGAGATCTGCCTGATGACAAATCAAAAAATATGACTTTAGGGAACAGCTGTTTAAGAAAAATTAACTGACATCTTTTTAAAAGCATTTATTAAGTATTAATCTCAAGTTATGCTTACACAATGTGCCTTCAGTGTCATATTATAGCCAGATTTAACCTCAGTCAACCAGTAACTGGTAAGTTGTTACAATGTTCTGAACACCAGCACATGATACAGTCTAAGGGCAAACTTTAAGGACGGCCTAAATTCAGAGGGTGACTAACTATGAAACTTGTTTTGCAAAAAATACTGCCAATGACTTTCACATAAATAATTTTAAAATAATCCTTTGTTTGTGTAGACAACAGACAGATTTTCTATAAGCTATGCTTAAAGCCTGAATAGAAGAGGCAGCCATCACCATGGAATTTTTGAAGAAAAATATAAGTGACCAGAAGTGCTTATTGTTATGACAGGTTGTCTCAAGTCTTTGAGACTCGTTTGGTAAAATCCAATCAGTAAATGTCCTCTGAGTCTTCATAGTTTCTTCCTGGTGACCTTTATGTTTATAACTATAGACTACATTTAATTGCATCTTTAGGGGAAAGCCTTAAGAAAAATATTCATATCTAATCACAGTCTTAAGAGGCCCAAGTTAGTTTGTCTTCTGTTTTTTTTTAATACTTTAAATGATAGGAAATTTTAAATTATTCCTCTTCCTTTTAATTTTCTTCCACCCCAGGAAATAAGTACTAGGCATTAAAGATTCCTTATCAAGCCAGGTACAGCAATATGAGCCTGATTGGTGCATGTGTGAGCATCCATGTGCGCATGTGTACACACACGCACGCACGCACGTACACACGCACCCTTATCCACACTGATGATGGGAGAAAGGCGATTCCAGAAGTTAACAGTAAATTGTGGCTTTGCATCATATTCATGGGGAAAGTTGAGTTTCCCTGAAGTCTTCAGTTAAAATGATCTGTTCTGCTAGGGAAATTCCACAGCCTATAATTTATTTCTCTATATATTTCAAAGGCATATAGTTTATGCATACTATAGCTATATTTATAGCATGTTTTTAATGTATAAACCCTAGGGACTAGCGTTTTAGTGCATAATGATAAGTAAATTATTTAATTGCTTTTGGTCTTACTTTCCTTAGCTATTAAACAAAGTGGGAATGTTGACAACACTTCTGTTTCTAACAGTTTCTAAAACTCTACCAATTGGGAAAAACAAGCCAATTTCTAATATTTTGGGTTTTTTTAAAAAAATGTTTATTTTCAAGTCACTACTTTTATAGATTATTTGTTTGGGGGCCAACTATTCTTCCTGCAAGCATCAGTACATGACTACTTCCAAAAAAATTATCCATCTGAGCAAAGTCCAAATATTTGTTGGCATGCATCACACACACTGGTAGCTTAAGAGATACTGCAAAAATAAGAGAAAAACAAAGCCAGAAATCTGCTTTGCATAAAAGTATATGCTTTCTGGACTTCAGTGAATTACCTAAAATTCTACAAATATTTCCCAGTTTTGCTTCCTAAAAACTGTAATAAAATTTACAGAGATAGGGGAGACAGAAAGGGAGATCACTGGTTACCTTCTATACTGAGGACGTTTTTCGCTTTGTTTTCTTCAGAAACTTCAAACTTCTTTATGATGTCGAGACAGTAGTCCAGCGTGACATTGCTCATCTAAAGAAAGCAGAATTGAAAGAAAGAGATTTCTAGAAAACAACTTTCTGTCAATTACAGTGTGAATTACTCTGTTAACGAGAGTTGAAGGTCTAGTGAATCCACTCTCATCCAGCCCCACAGCCTCCTCATGAAAGTAGCATCTCAACAGCATGACACAGTTTTATTTCTAAGCCTCTCCTTATGATGTCTATTACATGTGCATATTGCTATCAAAGAAAGACAGTAGTTACAATCATCTTTGTTTTTAAATGTGCACAATGTGCACACACGCCTGATGTAGGAAGAACCCTGAGCCTGTTATGTGAGTCCTGAGTCAATGTGTGCTGGCTGTTGAGAAAGGCATGCATTCTTAATCACTGAGCCATCTCTCCAGCCATGACAACTATCATCTACACCTCTCAGCTTATAGCTGACATAACTGACGCAGAGATGATTAAGTAGTACCGCAAAAGTCCCAGAACTGTAAGAGGCAAAACCCAAGGTTCACATTTGGATCTTCTAGATTTTAAGTCTAACCCTTTTTCTTTCATATAGATCTAATCCCTTGACGTTGTCTTCATTTCTCCTAAAGTATTTGAAGGCTGTTTGGCTTTTCAATATAGCTGAAACCTACAAATCATTTGATGTGTTACAATTTTCAAACCAGTTACTGGATTCTGATTTGTTGCATGTTTAAAACTGGCCTCATTCTGTTCTGTTGATTACTGTATTTTAAAATCTTCTAGAAGAGGAAAAATCCTCACATTATAGGTAAACACACACAATACAGATGAGTTATAGGAACCAGTAAGGAATCCGTAAAATGTATTCACATTCTGACCCTGCTTATCTTCAGACTTGTTAGTTCTCTAGAAACACATTTCCAGTGAGAGAAATTCCCAGAGTCAGTGGAGTAAAGGATTACATTTCTCATGACCACACTTCCCTAGCACATCAGACACACAGCTGAAACTGAATTAGCAAATTTTAATATTGCTGAACTCATTTTTTTTATTTTAATAACTCGACCTATTATTGAGCAAGTCAAAATTGTGGTATTAATGACTAAGTACAATTCCCTTTGGTAAGCCCTGACTCTTTCTTCCAAAGGCGACAAAACTAATACTTAATATTTGTTTTGAAACTGCACGCTCCTTTCCACTTCAGACACATACCTGCTGACTTATTATGTTAAACAGTAAGTCTTTCTCACTTTGTCTATTATCCCTCTGCGCACCTACATAGCACTTACTAAAGAATCTGGCCTTTAAATTATCCCAACTATGCAAGTATTGCACGTTGGTGACTATGCTATGCAGTAAAACTTAATAGTCTACCACAAATACTTCCCATGATTCTAATGGGACCTTGGTATATTTTTCCCATGACAGCAAGAGAAGAAATGGCCTCTGAATTCCACTGTCCGCTTTAGTAATAGTGCCTCTTTTAAGCTTGTCTGATTTAGAGCTCTGATGAGCTGTGGAACTGACTTCCATAAGAGATCTCTCACAAAGTCAAATGGCTGCATTTTGCTGCTGTTCTGTATATATTCAGTGTGCGTGTGCGCGCACACACACACACACACACTTTTTTTTGATCCTTTATCGAGGCAGAAAATTCTAGGTTGGAATCACCACTCTTGTGTTTCTCGGCTTCCAAGTGGTTTGGGGAAAGTCCTGATGTGGTGCTTATGCCAGCCTTGTTTATTCATCCTGCTTCAGCTTAATTCAGTTAGCTTTGGTCTTTTTTTTCACTTATAATAATGAATCTGATTTGCATATGAGTGGCTCATGTTCCACAGTGTTCATGGTCCTCAACGGGCATCTCTGGAGATTCGTCTGTTTTAAGCTTATCACTTTTGGTATTGCGTGATAATTTCCTCCCTGCTCCGCTCCTGCTTTATAAACCCTGCACTCTGCTTACCTCTCTGCTCTCAAACTTTAAGTTTCTTGGAACTTCTTTTTCCCCACTGAATTTTTTCTCATGGTGTCTCATTCTCAGCTTACAGCTATGATTGTCTTATTCTGATGACGTTACCAACCAGCTTCTGATATTTCCTCTTCCTGTGTCATATCTATTCCACCTCCATCAAGTTTCTTGTTTCGATTTGTTTGTTTCCAGTTTTTGAGTAGTACAGAATTTCCTCACTCACACAGTTAGCCTTGTCAGTCTTAGAGTTTGAGTATAGAAGAAGAAAAGTTATAAAAAAGAAAATCACTCACGGAAGGGGTGGGTAACAAAGAGCTCTAGAGAGGGGACAGTAGAACACAGGTGAGTAGGAGAAGGGAATAAAAGGAGAATTTCCTGGGGTAAAGGATAAGAAGGGAGGGACAACAGATGACACTAAGGATGTTTAAAATTATTTACAGACATTTAAAATGAAGTCAATCATCAGTTAGACAGAAGATTTGTATTCATGAGCACAGCTCATTCCTGGCTTTATTGCGGGATTCTTGGGCCATGCTACTATTGTACTTGGCTTCTGATATAAGTTAATATCTTTGGATGACATCCTCCCACACACACACTTTATGTGTTATGTTAGAGATCTAGAGATACTATAACCAATAAGCTGCTGGATTAAAGCAACAGATACTTATTCTGCTGTGGTAATGAATGCCAGAAGTCCAAAACCAAGGTGTCAGCAGGATTAGCTTCCCTGGAGGCTCTGAGGAAGAACCTGCCCCACCTCTCCTTGTATTTGAACTTGGCATACATCCCTTGGCTTGAAGAATACTACAGTCTCCACCTCCTCCAGAAGGCCTTCTTCCGGTGTACCTTTTTCTACTGTTCTTTTATGAGAACTCTTACTTTGGGCTCTAATGCCCACCTCAAGTCCAAGATAATTAACATTGTAATTGTATTAATCAACATATAAACATTCAACACATTCATGGGTATTAAGAATTGTCACTTAGATCGTTGGGTATGAATATTCGATTCAATATAACTGATAATACTACCATTAAGATAAAATTCTAATATTCTACCTGGTGAGGATGGACTTGGGTGAAATAAGAATCTATTTATGGGTCAGTATTTGATATCACATAATACGTGATACCACCTGCAGCCAGCAGTGCTGTTTTGTATTGCAACTGATTTTATTTTATAAGGTGAGCAATCCTAGTGTTTATAACACTTGTGTCTTAAAAAGACAATGAATCAGGCACAGAGAACAAAATGCCTCAGGTTGGTCTCATTGTGCAAATCCAGTTTGAAAACTCAAATGCTATCAAGGTCTGTTACTGAACATTTTAGGTTGTCTTCAATTTTTATTCATTCTGAAGAATGCTGAAGTGCACAACTTTCCAAATTTTTCTGTATGTACTTAGCTATTTCTTTAAAATAAATGACTGAAGGCAAAATGGATCAAAGTTTGATAAACTCTGACAATTTCCAGACTTGTAAAAGTGCCATCCTGAATAATTAGATCATTTATAAGCTAAAGTAGTTACTATGATTGTTGATGTTCACTAAATTAATGGCTCAAAATAATAAGCTTTTGGCTTACTTTTGCATTTTTGATTACTAGTAAGGGCAAAGTGTTTATAGGTAACCGGACCCATAAAGGCATTTCCCCCACTACTCAGTATTACTATTTTTAGTGTATTGCAAATACTTTCCTACCTTGTGATTGAGTTATACAGCATCTGAAATATGAGTCCTTAAAGTTTCTGTATATTAAAATGTCCCTGTGTGCTTTCTGTCTCCTGAGGTACAGTAATGTAGATAGATGATAGATAGACAGACAGACAGCAGATAGATAGATAGATAGATAGATAGATAGATAGATAGATAGAGATAGATAGACAGATAGACAGATAGACAGATAGACAGACAGACAGACAGACAGACAGACAGACAGATAGACAGATAGACAGATAGACAGATAGACAGATAGACAGATAGACAGATAGACAGATAGACAGATAGATAGATAGATAGATAGATAGAGACATTCTCTCAAGCCCTATCCACGTGTAAGTAGCTTCATGCTAATTTAGAAAATGAAACCAGATACAGATTCTCTGGGGCAGACTTCACACAGCACTGGCTTTTGTTATTTCCTGGCAGAACGTCAACCCAAATAGAAAGGGTGAGGAAGCGCATGCCCCTCAGCAAGCGATGTGCACTATTGCCATTCAAATGGGTTGGAGTGATTCCACCAGCCAGGATGAAGTTAAAGCCACTAGATTTGTATATTTTAATTTTAATTCTTCACATTGTTGCACTTCTGAACATATGAGTCATTTTCATCAAGATCAACCTTCAACTTGATATTGTGAGATGGGAAAAGTGGGTACCGGATGCCCTTTGTATAAAAAAGAAACCAAGGTTCAAAATCAAGAAAAATGGGGACGAGCAGGTGAAGCACTACTTGGATGGAAAGGGAACTCAAGCTACATAGACAGGATTCCTGCTGAAAGCCAACCAAGATGCTCAGACATCGACAGGGCCTGCCGTAAGTACCAGGCTGAGGAGTTTAGATGCTAACGATGGGAATCCTGGCTTACAGAACATCATGATTCTTTGTATAAGTGGATTATTAGAAATAAGGCAAAGAGAAGGGCCTGTCAAGAAGGCTCAGAGAAGCCTGTTTAGGGTTATCAAGGGCTGATTTAACTGTTGCCCCAACCCTCCTCCAGGCTCAGTTCGATAAAATGACCCTGAGTAGAGGGACCTTGCTTTTCTTCCCATTATCTATGTATCCTAAATGGCAACTCAGGAACAAACAAAAGAACTGCATAGGAAGAGGGTTGGCTGCCGAGACCTATGCCCTCTCTGGACATCTACCCTAAGGGCACCTGAATGTGTTTATTAAGCCTTGAGCCCCAGGGCATTTTATTTGTGGAATGTCCATGATAAAAGCATGAAGGTCCAGACTGATGACATCACTGTCCAAAGTTATTAACTTAACCCCTAGCTCCCTATCAATGTCCAAAAGTGGAAATGGGAGCTCACAACCTCATCACATGGATGAACTATTCAGAGGTCCAAATTTGAAGGGGACTGAC